AATAATTTTAGACATTTTGTTCAGTTTAATGGATATCTGTCCCAGAAAAAAGTAACCCCATTAACACAGCTAGAATGTGTATATGAATGTATGTGTGTGTTTATAGATAAACAGACAGGCAGACAGACACACATACTATTCTGATTATGTCATCAAAAGAACCTCAGTCCTGCAGATCAGTCTGGCACATCCCTAGTATCTAGTAAAATCAAAACTAAGACATCCAGTTTGGCATGAAAACTCAGCCATGTGATAATGACTCACCTATGAGCCCAGCTATGGCGCTGAAGGGCCAGGTGTGGCTGGTGGAGTTGCTGTGAAGAAACCTGGGAGAAAGCTGACAAGTGGAGAAAACTGAGAATTACACATAGTTACATTTATTATTAAATAGAAGTTATTTTCATACAATAATCTATTCAAAATCAGCATGTCTAACATTAATTAAGTGGCTTTATTGTGTTATATTGTATTATACTACATGAAAACAGGAACATATTCACAGGAGATGCAAATGTTTCAGGGAAATTCAAAAACAATGTCTGCAAAAATCCCTCAAAAGACGGACAGGGGTCGGTGGCAAAGAGCTGAGCTAGCAATTAAATGCAAGAGGAAACTAAAACAAGTGGGAATACACATTTAGAAAGAAAAGAAAAACACTGAAAATTCATGACTTTGGATAAACATTAAACACTGTTATTCCTGAAGTTTTAAAATTACACACCCTTTACAAAACAAGCCATATCAATAGGCACTTATTAAATAAGCATTTGCTCAGTTTCTGAATTTGTCTTCTTTTCAGTACAATTCCAAAGTTCAGAAGTCAATCAGACTGTCCATTCCATTAACAGCACTTAAACATCCCAATCATATCAAATATCAAGCTTTTAGCAGAAAGGTTACAGCAAAAATGTCACCTGCAGACCACAAACTTTATTTAGTTTATTTCTGCTATAACATGTGATGTGAGAACTAAAGACTGCATGTGCATACTGTTCTTATAATGAAACTGAATCTGAGGAAAACGTTCTGACATGGCAGGAGTGGTCAAGAGTAATTAACATAAAACCTGTGCAAATTTTGCTAAAGTTACACAAAGCTGTACATCTGCCAACCTGATGAAACTCTTCAACCTGAAGCTGGATTCACTGGCTAAATACCACTTCAAGTGGCTGCATCAAGTCAAAGAGTTCAGGAACCTTAAGGGCAGAGACACACCAAGCCGATGTGAAAGAACTAGCAGCAATGAAGGCCAACCGCTGCATCGCTTCATGTCGGCTGTCTCTGGGCAAGTTGGGTTGAAAAAGTGACATTTGAGCACACCACACAGATAATGACTGTGCACATACGTTTAGTGCCTGCGTCAAAAAATAAAAAAATAAAAAAACTCCCAGCTTGGTGTCTCTCTGCCCTAAGGAGACTGGTGGACAATGACATTTGCATACATACAAACCTCTCTAAGAACTTTGCATGCAAGCTCTGCAATGAAAATCAAGAATTCCATTTTGGGTGGCAGCCACAAACCCTACTGTCCAATCATTTCTTGCATACACAGCATAGTCCTGCCATTCCTAAACCACCATTTCCAAATCCATGTTTAAAGCAATAGTTCCAAGTACTGCATTTAACAACAATTTCAAAGTGTTGTAGGAATGATGACAGAGGCATTATAGACACAACATGCAGACATATCTTATATATGTAAGACAAATTCATGTCTAATGATCCTGCCATGCAATACTCCCATTTGTCTGGTAGCTAGATTAATGATGTCTTTCCTAAAGGAAGAAAGGGTTGATCTAGGTGACAGCAGATAAAATTGAGACCTTGTGTCTCTGGCTTGCAATTCACCGTCTGGGTAATTCAAGTGTGAATCTAGGAGGGGGATGTGATGTTTACTCAGTCCAGTGGGGGAGTGAATAGATGTCCCAGAGACCAAGTCTGGCCTGTGCCAGTACTCCTGGGGGCTTTATTGCCTGTAAAATCATTCCTTGTCTTTCTCTGAGAATTTACTGCTGGGATGCTGCAATCTAAATATGAAACATTTTCCATAGAATTTAGGCTATATTCCCAAGACTATTTATTTAGAATAAGCAAACTGTCATGTGTGTGTTACTGTTTTCTTTTATTTTTCAAACTACAAATAATTCTTGAATGTCAGAGTCCTGCCACTGTAATTAATGCATTACTAACAATCTATAGACTTGTGAACTAAAGTTATGTTAGTAAATCAGTTAGATAATTGTTAGACATTGTGTTGAATCAGATATGTTAGTAATGCAGTTTAGTAAGATTTAAAGTCTGCTCTAGTATGTTTTGTTTCAAGGTTAGCAGACAGAATGTTGATTCTGAAAAGTGAACCATAGGTACTTATGACATCAATTGTATTAATCTTGTGTTAGAATATTATGTCTGAACAAATGAATGAATGCCTTAGCTACACACCATGTGACAACATACACACACACACGATGAAATTCCTCATTTTGTTATGTTAGGTATTTTTAGTCAGATAGAAATTGGATAGATACTTTATGTATTAGAAATGTTTAGTGGAGACAGGATGTCTAGTTAGACTGTTAAATGCTTAGTCATGCTTATGAGTTTCTACAGGGTACATCTGGTCAAGGATAACTAGAGAGAAGAGTTGATGACTGTCAGCAGACAGGGTGTTTAATATTATTATTATGACGTGTATAACTGTAGCCTTAGCCATAATAGGTTCTTATGTTTAAGCCACGACATGTTACTAGAGGTCGTGAGAATGTTTTTAGCTACACACCACTTAACCAACAGACACACACATTCACACGTTGATTTGCTTCATGTTTTGACTACTGCTATGACCAGCTGCAAAGCTGGTAACAGAGACGTCTCGGTTGACGTTTCTGTGTAGTATGGGGCTAGCCCAACCGAGGGGATATAATGTATAGGCCTGATGGGTTCAGGGTCTTTCATCTTACATCTGCCTGAGAGCAGTTTGGAGGTGCAAGATACCTGAGTGTGTAATGTTAATTTTACCTGTGATCCTTTGAATAAATCAGCACTGTTTTGAAGTTACTTGGACTGTCTCGTCTCTCAGAGTTAGCAATGGGAAGAAGAACCAAAGACCAACAGTTATGACTAGGTAAAAATGCAGCTGCTCGAAGCATGTGGAGCACTAGATAAGAGATGGAGTCTTCGGATTGACCTCATCTGGTGATGTTTTGTAATCTTTCTGGGTAAGGGGTTAGCTTAAACCTTATAAATGCATTAGGTTCTGTGTGGCGGGGGAACTCCACTTTCCAGCGGCCTGTGTGTGTGTCTGGAAAAGGGAGCAACCCGGGTCGTGTTTGTAATTTGCGTCTTAACACTTTTGTTATTTGACATTTGTTGGGAAATGTGTAAAGAAATTAAATGAGGGCGCACATACTGTAGGCACTAAAACATAACTCCGAATACGTCTGTACAAACTAGTCCATGTTGTGTTTTCAAAAAAATCCAATTTTAACAACAGTGCAGTGTTGATACTGTTGTGATGCAGTGCAATAATGGAAACTGAGGAACTCAGATATAACTAATATAAATTTAAATATCTGAGAAAATATTTTTCAGTGCAGCAACATCTGTAGCTAGCTAGCTTAGCTAAATAACAATCGAAACGGAAGTTAGCCTTGATTAATACATACACGGACTAAACCCACACTTGGAATGTTTTTCAGGAAACCAGTGCTGCTAAAGTTGCTGACAAATTTGACCTAATTCGCTGGTCGTTCACCAACACGACTTTGCTCACTTTGTTTCACACGCTGAAACAGCTCTGCAGTCTGTGCACGCTGCCAACAAGGCTCATGACACTGTGCGTGCAAAATGCTTAACGCCAACCCAACGCGCATATCTACAAAGGCTGTTTGATTGTGAAACCACATGCCTGTGAACCGTTAAATTACCCAAATGATGAACAAATTCCACTCACCGTACTCAGCGGCACACCACGAGCTGTCTGAGCCGCCATTTTTGCGTCAATACAAATGGTAGTAGGAAAAGGGGCAGGGACGTAGATCAACATACAAGGCACATTATTATGTGCTCAGTTTTCCTTACTACTTTTCACTGAGAGTAACGTAATATAAATACTATACATTGTTGTCATAAATTGTTATTCAAGGGTAGAATATAAAATTGAATGGGATCATTTCCGGTTCCATCTTTTCAAAATAAAGCAAGAGTACTCTCTAATAAAAGGGTATAGTTTCAAATTACGACTAGGACACCAATGTTGCCAATTTAGCGAGTTTTAAGACCCCTTTACGACTGTTATTCAAAAAGCGACTAGCGACTTCTTGGACAGAGTACTTTCTCTGGAGGAGATTCGTCTGGACTGCTCGTGAGATCCTGCAGTACTGCCCGACGAGGAAACGCCCCTCTCGGCTTTAGTTCCGGCGGGAGATGAGCATTCGTTGCACTGCTGCAGATAGAGACATGAATGAGCTGCGCATGCGTGAGCCAAGCGTCTCATGTTTATCCTTACTGATATTTCCCCCAAATTTGATATGGCAGCGGCAAGCATTATGTGAATGTGTAAATAGTTAAACGTAACAGTGTGGTATAATCCTGAGTTATTGTGTTTTACTGTTCTTGTTATTGTTGTATTTCGAGGGGTTAAAAACGACTGTTGGGTTCATGCTGTGTGGTGGGTTGCATCGAGCACTCGGTGCTCGAGCCTGTTGACTGCTGTTCGATTGGAAGTGATTCGCTGTATTATGCCTGTATGTGTTATTCTGTGGTTGCCGGTAACGAAGAGAGCAAAAAAAAAAAAAAAAAAAAGAAAAGAAAACAGAGAGCTGGCTGGCTGTTGTGATCTTTTGGCCCTGAATTACGCTACTGCAGAGCAGTTCAGGGTGAGGGTGCACACCGTGCCAGTGATATAAGGGGAAGACGTTATTGTGAGGCGTGTTCTTTTTACATTGAAAAGGGAAGACTAATAAGAGGATATATATTTCACAGTGTGAAATTTATTATGCATTAACGTATCAAAATTAGCATGTGCACATGGATCTTCACTGTTTAGGATAAACAGAAAAGACTGACCTCAACTTAATGGTATACAATATTTGTATGAAAAGGTACTACTATCTAATTGGTCAAAAACTGTTGGGGAGAAGCCGTGCTTTAGACTTAACTCTCCCGTTATTGGTCCTTCAGTCCGTCCATCCTCCAATCGTCCTCTCTGCTCCAATCATCGTGGACAGCGCCCTAGGAAGGGGAAGAATACCTATACTACTGTTAGATTCTACGGTTTTTGTTAGAAATTAACCCAATTCTTTTGTTGGAAGCACGAGAAGTGACGACAGGAGAGGACTGTTTAAAATCAACAGAAAGTTTACTGAAAGTCTGATTACAAGCAAGTCTTACAGCGCTGGATTCAGAGAGCCAGAGCTCCCGCAGGAAAACCAACTTCTGAATCCTGAGTCATGTTTT